AGTATAGCAAATGACCAAAATACATAGAAATACAACATAGAAGGAAGACTTATTCAACAAACATGTGTCATATTCCTGACATACCAGAGGAAGACTATACACTCTCAGTTAGAAATTTATTTATGTAGGACCTCAACTTTGAGGTATGAAATGGAGACAAAATTTGAGATTACTTAATGAAAAAAAAATCCAATTATTATTTAGACTACAGGAATTAGGATGAGTTGAGCTGAATTTGAGCAGAGGAACAGCTGACTGCCTGAGCTCAGACTAATAATATGTTATATTTGTAAAGAGATGTTTGTAACTTGGAAAGTAGAGTATGACCCTACCTAAAACCACATTCATCCTACAAAAGCCCAGAGTAAGTATGAACTATGGTGGCCTCATTTTTTACATATAAAGATACTAAGGCTAAAGAATGCAAGATGACTTCCCCAGACTCTTTTAAACTGGCTGAATAAATTGTCAAGATTCCGAGTTGGAAGGTATAGGAATTGGATTCCCATCTTAACATTCTTCTGACTTTAATTCATATTACAGTCTAGGTGAGATGCACAACTCTGGGTCTCTCTCAACTTGTGGTGTTTATACTTCCTCATCTTCAACTTTTCCCAAGTTAAGGAAATAATCTGAGCTCTTATTTCAACCTAGGTCTTCCTATGTAAAATAAATACCACAAAACAGTGGCATTTTACAGAATCTAGGATGCATAATTTTTCATATTTTAACATCTCTGAAATTAAGATATAATGTAATGAGTGGCTTATTATAATTGCTCTGTGGCTTTACCAAAGATGGATTTCATTGCCTGTGCATGCACCAGCTTGGTGAACGCTGCTTATGTGATCATTACCTCAACTGAGCAGTGCAGTTGTTGGTACAGTGGATAGAAAGTGATTGTGCATGCAGAAAAGGTTATAAATATAATACCAATGTGAATGTTCGTGCTGGAATAATGACTGTAGCTCCAGGGTAAGGGTGTTCCTGGCCAGGAACTTTATTCTATTACCTATGAATCCAGTGAAACCAATGTAAGATAAGGGGAGAAAGAGTTTTTATTGTGTACAGCTTGCTCGATTTCACTAGCCAAGTCCGGCTCCATCCCCCAGCTCACAGCTCTCTCCCCTGCCTACCCTTTCTAGCAGGAACTCCATGGGTGGGGCTGTGGTGACTGATTGGCACCAGACCACTTAGGTACCAGGAAGGGAGGGGAGGAGTATGGCTGTTTTCTCTCCACCCCTTGAGCCAATCCACCAGAGGCTCTACTGTGGTAAACACCCATTGGTATGTAAATGGACTAAGGCCAGGTGGGAAATTCTGGACATTCTGGGTGGAAACTTCCATTTACCCCACAACAAACATCATTTCATATTTTATTGCAAAGCAACAAACTATTGAGACAGGGACCATTGGCTTAGACAGAGTAGAGTGAGAGCCTCCGGAAAAAGCAAGGAAAGATATTTACAGTCAAAGCAATGTAACAGTGTAAAGTCCCTATTGAAACTCTGTGTTCAGCATTATGCAAAGTCAAGGTCACACTAATTCTCAAGGGTAAAGATACTAGACTAGGAATATAGACATCTTCAGTGAGATCAGTTAAAGGTCTAAAGGCCAGGAGCAACTCTGCCTGGAATGTTTGAGTGTTCCCCAAGTGTATCTCAGCATAACCCATGACTTCACTGCAGACAGCCCTAGCAAACAGACAACCCAGCCCACCTTGAGGGCAGGGAGGTGGTACAAGTCCACACCCTAAGCCCTCAATTCCCAAAAATCCTCAACTGCTTATAAATTCCCTAGACAATGCACCACCCTGGGCTCTCTTGTCCCCTCCTAGCATGAGCCAGGAGCTCTGTCCTCTCACTGTATCTCTCAATAAAAGCCTCTGCCCTGGCTGTCCTACCTTGGGTGTTTGCTAAGTTCATTCTTCGACTCCGCAAACAAGAACCCCAGCATCACTATTGCTCTGTAGGACTTAAGAAGGGCAATACCCACAAGCAGATTGGTGTGTTGACTTTTATTGAGATAGTCATGGAATAGTTATCTATCATGTACTAAGCCAAACAACTGAAGACAGGAAAAACTGACAAATCCCTCAGAATACATGAAAGAAATTTCAAAGCAACAAGAAGCTGGTGTGACTGATAAGTGTGTCTGGCAGGAGTATTGTTGAAACATTGTATCAGTTTCATTGGCTGCTTCTTTTTGTTCTTGGCCATTTGTAAAGTATTTTTATCTTATGCATGGCATTTTAGATTCTATGATAATATGTTAATTCATGAATAATCATGAATCAGCAGTTCTGATCCCCTCTAGCTGGTGATTGGACTTTGCCTAAAGCTACTCTGCTGATGGTGGACATTATTAAAAAGCCCAAAGTAGTCAAACCAAAGCCAAACACTAAGCATTGCACCCCTGATTCCAAACATAAGATTAATGAACTTCAATCACCATCCTTTGTTCACCTCAGCCCAGAGCTTAATTCTTATCTAGTTGAAAAGAGAAATGGTCTTTATTGGCTCTTTAAGCTTTCAAGCTAATGGTTCTTTATAATTCCCTGGTAACTATAGAAAATACCCATTTTAACATGATTTCCTTGGCAATTTTGGACACTGAGGCGGTTACCTGATTTATTTCCTACATAGGAACAAATGGAAGGTGAATGGTTCTGATATAGCTGTGGCTATATATATATATGTGTGTGTGTATATATATCCTCTTTATATATTTTTACACATTGTTAGGGAACAGGGAAGGTTGTTTATTCATAATCGTATCATCTATCACAGTAGCCTAAAACCTCATGGATTATTATGTCAGCAGAACAGAGGTACATAAACCTGTTTAATGGCAGAAGCAAGCATTCCATTAACTTGGATAAAAAGTAAAAATCAATTAGCTGAAGTGTTTCTTCTTTACCCTCAGAAAGGCACAGCCAGGGTTAAGGTCCTACAGTCAGGGGTGCAGTGGGATGAGTTTGCCCAGGTCTGAGGAGTGCTCGGTTTCCTCAAGCAAGCATTTGGCCTCAGTAAACTCAGGAAGCAGTGTCATTACACCCTAGTCCCAGCCCCTTCCTTACACGAATGACACTGTGCTATGCCTCCTGTCTCACTGTGGGTATTCAGTTTCTAGATTTGTGACAGGATGAGAACTTTGTCCATTAACAGAGAGGCTCCCTACCTAGGGTCTTCCCAGGGATAGGCCAAGGTTGGGCTTATAAAACCAACAAGAGCAGAGGAATAATTTTTTTCATTACCTAAGGAAATACAATTAGATTTTTTTAAAAGAACCTTTAGAAGTTTTTTGTAAAACTGTATTATCCCTTGAAATTGAAGGTATGTTCATTTTTATATATATATATATTTTTTTACCACTTAGGTCAGTACTGATTTATCATTTTTCATACACCCCACACATAAGATGAGGTAAGAGAAAAGTATGGAGTTTTTAATGTCTGCCTTTACTTTCCCAGTTTATAGATACATGCTGAATCTTACTGTTGCTAGAGGACTATATATTATCCAGAAGATGTTTACCTGGAACTAATAATACATTTCAGCAGATATTTCAATCTCGTTGGAAAAACTTGTACTTGGTTCAAGGGAATACTCTGAAATAAAGTTCTGTCTGCCTCTTAGCCCTCTCCTTTCTTCTCAGAAGAAATAGTGACCACATCTCATTGAAAGCTCTCCTGCTGCCGTCTGAAACTCTGCTTTTATTCTCTCTTCAAGTTGAGAACAGCTCATCACTCTTTTCTATTTAATAATCCTGGAGGACTTGACAATTGCTAGTAAGAACATTCCCAAGTTGCTTTTTTTTGACACTTTACAACTGCCTTCCTTTCAACTCTCATCATTTGTTTAGATTTTCGACACTTTGATATCTCTCCTAACCACCCACTGAGTGATGTCTTTTCCTAGCTATCTTAGCTTGTTATTCCCAAGTAAGAACATGGCCAATATAAAGGGAGGATTAAAGAACATTGCTTCCTTTCAGCTTCCTCTCTGAAATGGTAACAAATGCACTAGGACTTAACTTCTCAAACTTATAGAGTAGCATGGATACATGTTTAAAAGAACACAGGCTTGAGAGCTATACCACCTGGGTTTGATTTCCAGATCTGCCTGTTTACCAGCTGAGTGACGTTGGGCAAATTATTAAACCTCGCTATTCCTCATTTTCCTCAACTATAAAATGGGGATGATAATATCCTCCTGGATTCTAGATTGAAATAATGTAACATATAAAGTATTTGGGACAATACCTGCAAATATTAACCATTATAATTATTTTTCTAGGTTTCAACATCAAAGGTTCCCTATGTGTATCATTATACATACTGGAAGCTTATTCAGAATCCTAGATATCCTGTTTATAGTAACTTAAACTGCCAGCCCATTATATTGTAATTCTGATATTGATCAGCCTGGAATTTTTCTCTGAAAGATGTAAAGCATGAGTATATTAGTTCTTATGATTCACCTTTTAAAATTATCATTATTCCCAGATTTCCTAGGCCCCAATTGCCTTAGCTCTTTAAGTTGTCATAGTAACAAGGGAAAATGCTGTTTGGTGTGAAACGATGTTCTGAGTGGCCAACTATCTTAGGTTTCTTGGAACTAAGGGTCTTTCTCAGGTCATGGGACTTCCCTGCTGAAAGTGGCAATGTCTTGGACAAACTGGGATATTTGGCCACTCCAGCTATAGAGGTACTACTACAGAAGGTGGGAATAGAAGGGGGAAAGGAAGAAGCAGTAATAACATTAATCTCACCAAATACAAAAGATTTCGTAATACAACACCATTGTTTCCTTGATTTTTGACTCTGCAGTCCCTGAGGAATCTGAGAGGAGTGAGATTGCACTGAACTAATTAATTCTAAATGTCAAGCATTTGAGTTTCATTTTTTGCTATTATCATTATCTGGGATACATTTTTACTCCTTCATTTTACGTTCTTCTGCTCTCCTCTGATCATTCCTTGCCTACTTTTTCTTTTAGGTCAACTCAAATCAAAACATACTCTTGGGATAATGCCCAGGTTATCCTGGTTGGGAACAAATGTGACATGGAAGACGAGCGGGTCATCTCAACTGAGAGAGGCCAACATTTAGGAGAACAGCTTGGTAAGAAACAAATTAACAAGTTAACAGAAAGATAGTAATGATTTGTAACACTGTCAGAGTCCCAGCTAATGGCTACGGTGGGTTTAATGAAAAGATTGTTAACCTGGCAGTGGAAACCAACACCTCCTCCATAAGTAGTAAATAGATTTCCTCCCACTTTGGGTGGTATGATTAAAATCCAAGTGCAATTATAGAAGCAAAAGAGCCAGAATTTTAGTATAGAACAAGGTATTCAAATTCTTATTCCATGAAAAACACAGGATATATCTTGCCTGCCATTTCTTTGTTCTGTTTTTTTTTTTTCCTCCACTCACAATATTTTGCATTGAGTGAACACTTTATTCTATTGTGATTGTTGTTCTCAAGTTTCCATTGAAAGAATATAGTGGCTAAGAATAGGTCATTACAGATTCTGGTCCTAGGGGCACTGCCAGCAAGCCATGTTGTTCCCACAAACCTCTCTGTGACTCAATCTCCTCATCTCTCAATACTGACTATCATAACACATGCCTGCTTTACAAGTCCTTGTAGATAAGGCCAACTGAGATAAGAGATAGATATGAGAAAGTTTTAGAAATGGCAAAGCCATTGCAAACACAAAACATTATATCTAAGGAGAAAAGGTGCTGCAGTATGTGAGACAGAATTTTGGTGCAAAGGAGAGAATATGATTGTTTTATTAATTTAATGCATTTTTTACTGAGTGACTGTCAAATACTCTGCTCTGTGCCAAACATTACAAGGGATACAAAAGTGTGATTCACAGCCCCTGGGCTCAAGTTGCTCTCAATCAAGTGAAAAGACTGGAGATACACATAAGCAAGCAGAAATATCAAGACAATAAAAACAGAATAATGAGTTAGAAGGCAGATGCCCAGAGGAGAGCCACAGGGAGAAGGCAGGGAACAGATTCCAGGAGGAGGTATGGGAGTACACTGGGGTAGAGGGCAGATAAGGAGCACTGCGGAGGGGATACCTAGAGAGATCGTGTGGAAATGAGCAGAACAGCTAGGAAGAGGTGAGTAGTAAGAGAAGGAAATCATATTGGTTAAGTGAAGATGTAACTCCAGGGGGAAAATCCCAGGGCAAAATACCTCTAAAACTGAAATCAGTCAAAGGGAGAAATAAAGTTAAGGAATCCTTTTATTTCTTACAAGCAGTCATGCCCATCTCTCTCTTGTCCGGGCTGCAGCAGAAGAGAAAGCTCCACCCAACCTCTCCAGTCCAGATAAACCCTTGCACACCCTTCTAATTACCTACTGATAGGTAGATGGACCACTTTCTCCACCCCTTGAAACACCTATTGATATACAAATGCACTAAAACCAGGTGAGAGATTCTGGAAATACTGCAGTTTTACCCACACAAGATAAAGCTTGAATGTTCCCTAAAGGAAAGTAGAATATGAAAACCACAGAGAGAAAACATTATGAATAAAGGGCATAGTGGAGTGAGGACATCTAGAGGACAGTGAGTAGAAAAGTTGAAAGTACTGTAATATCATAGAAGTGGAGAGTGGATTTGGAGGACAATTCCAGATCAGGAGCAAAGGAGCTGGAATTATTTGTTTCTTAATTATTTTTTTCTTCTTTCTCTTTGTAGACAACAGAAAACACTGAGCTATTCTAAATAGGGAAGAGTCTGGCTTTCCAACCTTTTTTAGCCAGGAGCCTACAGTAAGAAATGCATTCAGTCTAGCAATCCAGTGCTTACATATGTAGAGAGAGAGAATGAAACCAGTTTCACAAAACACATTTACCCTTATTAGATGAGATACCTTTTGATATTTTTCTATCCTATTCTCTTTCTTCTATTTTCTTTTAAAAATGGTCTCCAGCCACTAAATTGATCTCAAGACTCAATAGTGGACTTGAATGTACAATTTGGAAAACGTTACTATGAAGTGGGGGAAGATGTTTTAGGATTAATCTAATACTGAGCATCATAGATTGAAGAAACAGAGATCCTCTCAAAGAGTCCCTCTATCATTTGTTAATCTCATAAATGAACAAAGCACCATCCCATCTGAGAGCTTGAACATTTCCTCATGGAATTAATAAGGTCATTAGACTAAAAGCTATTACCCAGTGGCCACGAGACCCTTCCTCCAAGTGTCCTCAGAGCTGCCTATGAGAGAGTCACACAGCTGATGTGTGGTCTCTCTGTGGCTGCTCTTGAGCCTTTATAATCTCATTCATAAGGCTTCTCCCCTTTCTATCAATTTAACAATGTTTTTTTAAAAAAAGATGTCTGAAAACCTTGGCAATCTTCTTAGTCCTGTTTGCATTCCAGGGAGTTAGGAATGGAGAATGATGGATCCCCAGGAGAAAAAAGAAAGGAGACCTGGGAAAGGGTTGACAGATGGCTTCCTGAAATGGTGTCTCCCCTCTCTGTATTTTCTTGACTAGTTAGGCATGTGCCATGTGACGGGAAGAAACTACAACACAGGTGTAAATTCTCTGTATATGTAAATCTGCTTGGTTCAAAGAAAAATAGATTGGAGCCAAGACTATTTAATGTCATGATCACAAAGAGCCTGATAACTGGCTAAATTTTATTCCATTCTAATACATGACTTGGGTGTCAAGACGATCAGATTATGGAAAGGGACACCGAAATGATGGGACTGCATCTCGAGAGTGACTTTCCTCAGAACTCCACTGACTGGCACGACACATACCCTCTTCATGCAGTACACAGATACAGGGACATTCCTGAAATTGTGAGGCAGAAATGTTTCATGTTCCTGTGCAAATTCTTCCAAAGGTTTCTAATTGATTTTTTTGCTCTCTATTCAATAAAACCGAGCAGTTGTCATAGCAACCAGCACTTGTACATTCTTAGTTACCTCCTTAATGTGGTTTGTTCTTCTCATGACTACACATGTCTACAAATGATCAGGAGAGATCATTTGCTTGGAAAAAGCACCCATACAATCTAAATTTAAAGGTTTTAAAGGTCTTTTTTTTTTCTTAATTACTGATAAAACTCCATTGTACAGAATAGCATCACATACCAGAAGAGGTTGGGCACAGTTTTTTTTTTTTTTTTTAATGTACATCACCACATCTTGGCAGGTGGCTCAAAAGACCTGATTTATCGATTTGGTTACAATTAATTTCTGCATTGTGGATCATTGTATGCATATAACATTTAACATTTGCCCATCCTAATGAGGGTACTTGATGGAACTGAGTTATAGCCATGCTTTTCAAAATTCTTGTGTGGCAGCTCCCCTTGCCAGCTTTAACTACGTGTTCATAATATATCCAGTTCTGGGAATACAATAACAGTCCTACCTTCCAGGAGCAAACATTATAGTGCCTGAGACAGACCAGACAAACAGACTCTCCAGACAATGAGCATTTTTCTGGCCACCCCTTTCCTGGTTGTTTTGTTTCACTGTCCCTTTTGAGCATGCCCTCCTTGGTAAACTCTGCCACTTGGACTTCTGTACGTACCAGGGTGTTCTCCGTGCTCCTCCTTCTCCAGCCACACCTGTTTCCCTCCTCTTTCTGCCTCTTGGAGTTTGGCTTTGCACCCCTGGCCCACCACCTTTCTCTCTGTATCCTCCCTTAGATATTTGCATCCACTTCCAAGGTTTGAGCCCCAACCACAGACTAATGGCAGCCAAACCATGTTCTAGCCCTGACTTCTCACTTGAGCTTCGGGGTCCTGTACTCACCTTCCAGCTATGCCTATTCAGTACTTCTGACTTAGGGTGGTCCTCTCATCATCTGCAGCTAAACCAGCTGGGGTTCTTTTCCAAGTGCACATTCATCAACCCCAATTGAGGCTTACTGCATTAGACTTTCTGGAAATGATAGCACAAGAAACTGCATTTTTAACAAACACCCTTATTTTATACAACACGAAAATTTTAGAACACTAGCTTAGATGGTGGCAAGTGTTTAGAGAAGATGGGAAATTGCCTCCTGAGCTGAACATTATCCTATAGCTCCTATTATTCTTCCCATGCACGTTTTCAACATTTACTAAAGATGCATATAACCTATAATGATACAGAGAAGTGGTTTGGATTTTTATTTTTTACAAATGCCAAAGTTGTAAAGGGTCAATAATCTCTCTATATAAACATATGTAGGTACATATGTGCATCATAACTTAAGTTTTAACTGTAAAACTATTAAACATTAAATGAGAAAAATTGGGATAAATAGGTAAAGGCATAAGTTTGCCTAAAATAGAAGTAACTTAGCTGGAAATAAGAACAAAGAAATTTATGGAAGGGAAGGGATTTGTATTGCCTTAAAACTGTAAGTGCAAAAATACTTTTTGTAAGCTCTGAAAGTGCAGAAATTCTGAAGTTTCACAAAAACGTAATCAGAGAAACAAAGATTACGGGTGGACTGAAATTGCTTCCAGGGAGAGGTGATTATTTTTTATAAATAATTTGGAATGATCCAGTTTCAAGTGTTTTTAATTTTCACTAATATTTCTTCCTGAAGCAAATAACAGATACATATTCTCTGTTACTCTCTGTTTGCACAGTTGTCATGGTATCAGGTGCATGCATTACTAAGTTCCAGATTCATCCCGTGCATCCTTCCCCTCTGTCCAGCACAGAAACTCCACGGGGACTTCTGACAGCTGTAGAATATTCTAACATTTTCTCATCTTTCCAAGCTGTGAAATTTGCCTCCTATTCTTTTCCCATTTAATGACTTTTGATTCTTCATCTGACATATATTTATTAAACACATATCAGGGAATTATAAAATATGTATCTTTTCTTTCATGGGACTTAACATGTGGTCTGTATATCAGAAACATTATTCAAGGTGAATAGAACATCACTGTAGAACAACCAGGAAAGCCTGCCTCCTTAGATTTTAGTGACCATGCTTCTGATTCCTGCTGAGGCTAAAAGACCACAGGGTGCCTAGTTTGGCAGCTCGGATTCTGGGATCCTCTAACCTGCTCCTATGAATCTTTTAGTGTCAACCACCCTTAATTTTCCTTTCAGCCCAGGTAAGAGA